TCCTGTGTGCATTTAAATGTCTAGTACACAATCCTTCCCAGGGATTTGGGTGGGAGATGGGAATCAGTATTCGACATTGCATGAAATCATGCTGCAGACTTTTCATCTGGATTTTCAAAGCTCAGCTGCTTTCTCAGCACATTTCAAAGTGAGGAGGAGTGAGATGGAATAAAGAATATTGTTGTATTTCAGGACTTTATTTGCAGAAACTGGCCAATATGCTCTTCTCAAACATATTTAACATACAGCCCTCTTCTGAATGCAACTAGAGTGTGAAAAGATACTTTTAAAATGTAATTCAGTACTTTTACAGTTCCTCCACCATGTACGTGTTGGACAGATGCATTAAAAAAGGGGGGAGCTCTTTATTTTCTCAATATTAAAGGAGCTAAAAGAGATGGTCAGCATTCTCTTAATGATTACTCAATTCAATTTATGTTTATGAAAAGGCATTTTCAGGACTGCTGCAAAGTTTGGAGGTCTGTTGTTGGAATTCTCTCCTAACCTCATACAATGACCGTACTCCTTGCTCAAACCCACCTTTCACTTAAAAGCATAGACTCTTAAGAGTTGGAAGGTACCCCAAGGATCATCTAGACCAACCCCCTGCCATGTAGGAAAACACATCCAAAACACTCCTGAAAGATGCCCAATCACTTTTTAAAGACCTCCAAAGATGGAGCTTCCACCACCCTCCAAGGCGGTCTGTTCCACTGTCAGACAGCTGTTACAGTCAAGATGTTCTCCCTAATGTTTAGATGGAATCTCTTTCCATTGGTTAACATTACTGTATCCCTCCCAGTATGGCCTGGCTCAGAGCCAGAGGGATGGCTGGTGATGGCTGTAGAAGGGTCCAGCTACATTCCTATAGCTCAGTGGTTCCCAATCTTTGGTTTGCTCCAGATGTTTTGGACTTCAGCTTCCATAATTCCTGACTGTTGGCAAAGTTGGCTGGGGCTTCTGGGATCTGAAGTTCAAAACCAATAGAGGGCCATTTCAAATGTCCAAAACAAAGGTTGGGAATACTGCTCTAGCTGGATGTGTAGCACTAATGTCTAGTTCCAGCACCTCCAAAGGACCACAAGAGGTTGTGGAGGTACCTCATTGCTGTGCACCCAGCTAAAGGTAAAGGTAGTCCCTTGACATGAATGTCTAGTCATAACCAACTGTAGGGAATGGTGATCATCTCTGTTACTAAGCCAAAGAGCCAGCATTGTCCAAGGACTAATCGGGTGGCCATGTGGCCAGCATGCCTGCACTGAAGTGGTACCTATTTATCTACTTGCATTTACATGCTTTTGAACTGTTAGGTTGGCAGAAGCTGGGACTAGTGACAAGTGCTCACCCCATCATGTGGCACTCAGGCCTTGAACTGCCAACCTTCCAATCTTCCAACAATCAGAATTGGTGTCTTAACCACTAAGCCACCGCATCCCTCTATACCCAGCTACAGACATCCATTCATTTATTTAATTCATATGCCACTTTTTTTGCCAGAAAGGGATCCAAGGTGGCTCATAGAAGTGTCCACCTAGCTGTTTTATTTTTCTTATTTATTTATTTAAAGGATTTTTATCCTACCTTTCTTCCACAATGGGATGAACCAGTGAGACTGGATCTTAGTACAGACCTAAAAGGGAACTATCCAAGGTGCTGAGTTATTTTCCCCCTAAGAGATTTCGCTTCTTAGAGATATGGAAGCCACCAGCCACTGCTAAGTCCAAAGTGATCTGGAAGACTATGCATCCCACTCTCTGGCCTAAAGAGAAGGCCATATCTTCACTTTTTGATGAACAGAAGAGCAGGTTTCACAGGACTGCATATGATTTTCTTTACCTTCAACAGAAAACATGATTTACTGGAGGAAATGCATTTGGCTTTGGATTCTCACTGTCAGTCTACATGATTATGTCATTTGGGGCTTTGCAAATCCTTCTCTGCTTCTCTTTCTGGGGAATCTAATTCTTTGTTTTTTGTTTGGGTTTTATAAGTCTCTTTCTCTTACTCCTGAGAAAGAGTGCATTTTAGAGATCATACACAGCCGGTATTATTCCTTGGAGGCCTGTCCTAATATTTCTCCATACATGATCAATCAGCTGGTGTAGTGGTTTGAGCATGGGACTACAATCCTAGAAAGGATTCCATTGCTTGGCTATGGAAACTCACTGCGTGGTCTTGGGCATGTTACATTCTCTAGGCACCAGAAAAATGAAGACAAAACTTGCCAAAAAAACCCTGTGATAGGTTTGACATAGGGTCACCATAACTCAGAAATGACTTGACTACACACAACAATAACAGCATAACTCCATAGGCGTCTTAATGGTCCAAATTTTTCCAGAACATTTTTTGAGGGCGGCTCAGCTTTCCAGTCTAGGCTTGGTCGGTTGTTTTGCCTTCAAGTGATTTCTAGCTCATGGTGACCCTAAGACAAACCTATCACAGGGTTTTCTTGGCAAGCTTCTTCCGAGGGGGCTTGGCATTGCCATCCTCTGGGGCTCAAAGATTGTGATTTACCTAAGGTCTCCCAGTGGATTTTCAGGGCCAAGCTGGGAGTTGAACCCTGGTCTCTGGAATCATAGTCCTGTGCTCAAATCACTACACCACACTGTCTCTTCTAGGCTTTGGGAAGCTCAAACACACACACGTGTGCACACACACACACACACACACACACACACACCATTTTGGAGTTAAGGGATGAAAGAAAACAGTCTGGACTCTGGCGCTTCTATTGTACTCACCCCTGCTGTACAGCAGCTGCAAAGGAGCCCATCTCCATCTGTATTGCAATATGGATCTCATTTCAAGCAGGCCCTGAGTTGTTGGACATGATCCTGCATGGACTGAAATCTTTACCTCTGCCAGTCTTCTTTCCCATGGGTTTGCTGAAGAAAGCGGCTGGCACAGCTTTGAAGATTACTGTTTGCCAGCGTATTTTTGCCAAGATCAGCTTGACATTCCCACCCCCCCAGCCCCAAGGATGCTTGGACAGCCTTGTCACCGGTTTGTGGTTTTCGGCAACCGGGGAGGACTTCCTTTGACCTATTAAAAATGGGGTGTGGTTCTAGTGAGTCTCTAGAACATCTCTGCTAATAGTTATTGAAGACAGAAGAATTGGATGTGTCAGAAACAGAAGCTGAAGGTCAGTGCTTGGAATCCCAAGCCATATTGCAGCCTTCCCGAAACTGGCTGAGCAATAAGACTTAGCTGACCTTCATTTCAAAGGGTATTTCTCAAATCTTCCAAAGGAGAAATGGTGTTCAGTGAATCTATCAACAAGAGAACATATGCAACAAGGGAGGGGGGGATCCCACAACAAATTATCGGCTGCCTTTGTAGAGTTAAGAAGATACAGTACAACCATTTGTTTTTATGTTGAATGCGCAACTGACACATCACCAGTGCGATAGATCAAACATTGCAAATGTAGACAAACACCATTTTTAAAAATAAATAAATAAATCTGAGCATACAGGAAGAATCGTATTGATCTAGAAAAGGTTATTACACTCATCCCTCCACATTTGCAGCTTTGACTTTTGTGGATTTGGTTATTCATTGATTTTATTAATATGTCCTCTCTAAGAATATCTAGGTCCTCCCGTGACAATTCTGTGGTCAACTTTAACCAAAAGTTACACTGAAGGACCTAGAGATTCCTAGAGAGGACACTCCACTAGGCATTTGCAGCTCCTCCAGAGCAATTCTAGGGTCAATGTCTGGCAGATGTTGACCACAGAGTTGCATTGGAGGACCTAGAGATTCCTAGAGAGGGGTTCTCTCAGGTAAAAACATAGTGTTTTTGTTATGTGCGGGTTTTCCACTTTCTTTTTTTTTTTTTTAAATATCTTTATTAGAAAAGTTTCTTAAAATTT